TCCTACTCGCCAGATCTAGCTCCCAGCGACTTTTTCCTGTTTCCAAATTTGAAAAAATTTCTTGGGGGAAAAAAATATAAGTCAAATGCTGAGGTGGAAAACGCTGTAAATCAATATTTTTTAGGTTTAGACAATCAATTTTTTTCTGACGGTTTAAAAGGATGGGAGAAACGTTGGACCAAATGTATCGAGTTGCAGGGAGACTACGTCGAGAAATAAATTTTGTTTTGCTTCGAAATATGTGTTTTTCTTAAAAAGGCCGGAAACTTTTCAAATGATATATAAGACCTCGTATATAAGACAAAAATTTTGTTCATTCCCTTTCGCTCTGGAAAATCTGGAAATCGAAATAAAACCATTCTTAACTCGAATTATTTGTCAGATATTTAGATGTATTATTTCACCTCTACAACTCGAATTTAAAGTAGCCAGACCTGTACAAGTCGAAGTTCACTTCTATAAGTAGAACTTCTATTGTCGCTGTCTCTATAATTCGAAGTTGTATTTTGTTTTATGAACATATTTATTAATTATATGTACGCAATAAATAATTTACTATTGTTTGACTTTGGAAGGAAAAAACATGTACCGGATATCGCAGAATAGCTTAATATAATTTTGTAATATTTCAACGTTTTACCATCCTCTTTGTATTGGATATGAGATCACATAAGAATTATTGGAGTTTGCGAATAATACTTTTACTAAATTTAAACACCAGGGAATTTAAAATTTGGACTGCGATTATGTAAATGCGGATTGTGAGCGTATCAAGTTATTGTAATGGTTTTAATTTATGTTAGGCATTAACTAATTTATAGTAACATTAAAAATGACTCGTTCGGGGTCGAAACGTTTGTCCTTCAAATCGTCATGAAATTGTGAAATTAATAAATATATATTTTGGAGCGATACAATACCCAAGCTTTGGCTCGTTGGCCCTTTTTATTTCATTTATTAATATACCATTTCAATTATTAGTATAATTATCAAAATTTTATGTTTTAATAATAAAATTAAGATACATATATCATTATCATTATTCATATAAAAATTTTAAAATTAATATAGTTGATTTTTCACGATTTTTATGTTTATTCAATTCAATATTAAACAATTTCATTGTAAAGAAATTAGTAATAAGTTAGAAATATTATCATAAATATTAATTATTATTAAGTATTATTAATATTAAGATTAACTTTGATCGTTCATTAATTTT